GGACAGTCTTATGTCACATAAATGTAGGAAACATTTCACACATTTCTGTGAAAACATTCAACCAAACAGTCTCTGTACTTCAGGTCAGTTTGTTAGTGTCCAGACTGAAGGAGGTCAGAGKTCAGACAACATAAAACTTATGAGTGACAGTGTTTTCATTGTTCTACATCGCTGTGGTCTCCAGGGTTCAGATAAGTGCACAGAGCCAAACATGACCCTGCAGACTGATCAGACAGTTTAAATGTTACAAATACAGGTTTCCATCACTCCTCTTTCATCTCTTTTCTAGCTTTATAATTACACAAAGTTTTACTGTTCCTAAAAGATTTACAAATRTTGTTATTTCTAAATATCTGAAGTCTTTTTCAGTAAATAATTAAGTATTAAGATAAATTAGTGTGAAAACATGTTTATTCATAAATTGGGCTGAACTGAGATCAAACTAGTTTTAAAAAGCTGAAAAGTTTAAAAACAGAAGAAGAGACTGAATGCATGTGCAGAACGTGAGCCTCGTGTCTGAAGGATGAAACAACACCTGGTCAGTCCACTGWGTTTCCAAACTACCAGCAGAGGAAGGTTCAGCTTCAGTCACTTTTCATGAGTTTCTCTTCACAGATGTTTAATTTGCCTTCAGGAGCTCCAGTCTGCAGGAGAAGCTTCTTCTAAAGTCAGCAGCAGCAGAAGCCAGAGGACTGCAGGTGAGGAAGGTGATCTCTGTGCCCTCCTCCAATAGCTGCACGTAGACACTTAGGGGTTGGGGTGGAGTTGGGGTGGGGGGAAAACTGGCATCCCCCCAGCCTCTGCCCTTCTTCCTGTCCTTTTAACTACACTATAGAACAACACGCATCAGTAGCACATTTGAGGGTGGGGGGGTGTGTGTCGGGGTCTTTTATTTATTCATTTCTCACTCCCCCGTTTCCCGACTGACGTCTGGGGGTGGGGCCCTGGTGGGGACACACCACCGGGTGGGGGCCTGGACTGATGCGGACTGGGAGCTTGGGGGGCGCGGGGGGTCAGGCTTGCACTCTGGCTTCTCTGGAGCTGCGTGGACTCTGGGGATGTGGCTCCTGGTTGGTGTGGTCGGCYCGCTGGCCGGGGTGGTCGCCGGGCTCCGGCGGGTGTCGGCTGGGGGTGTACCCCTGGCCGTTTGCGGTGGTTGGGGGATAGTCGGGGTGTGGCCTTGCTGGGGCGGGGGTGGCTGGTCGGGTCAGCGAGGTCCAGGCTTGGCCGTCTGCTCCTCTCCACCCCAGGACAAATGGGTTTACCTCCTGGTTTAGGGTGTGGGCCGCCCTCTGCGGGGGGGGGGCGGGGGCATACCCTGGACCTGGGGGGTATAGAGTGTGAATGGAGTGTGGTGTCTATATTGTATGTCTTTGAATGAGTGGGTGTGAGGATGAGGGTGGGATTGTATGATTGTGTTTGTGTATGCGTGGGTATGTGTCAGGCTGGGATGTGGACTTCCCCCTCCACTGGTTCGTTTGTTGCCCCCCATCCTATACCACCGTCTGGTGGGGGCGCCTTGCCCACCAGCACGCGGATGGCTCTTGTGGTCTGGGGCTGTGTGCTCGGGTGTGCGCTGGCTCGGCCTGGTGGCTGCCTGTTGGGGCTTGGGTCCTCTGGCCCTGTCGGGTCTCGGCTTGGGGGGGGCCCTGGGGGCCGGGCTGTCTGTGCCTATGCCCGTGCTTGCCCTAGCACAGCAGGGGCCGGCAGGGGCCTGTGTGCTCGTCGCTTCGGGCCACTGTGGGGCTGCTGCATGTGGTCGCTGGTGGGGTTCTCCTGGGTCTCCCCTATGGTTAGACCTTGGGGTGGGTGTGCGGCTCTCCTCACATAGGTGTACCCAGGGGTCCAATGCTTGGGGTTCCTCCTGGGGTCTTTGGCCTCCCCTTATGTCTGCCTCGTGCCTTGGGGGTTGGCTCTGAGACTCCCCCAAAGTCACTATTATACATTCTGTTGGAGAAATCCTGTAGATTTATGCTTGTTCACAACCGCACACAGACAGGTGTTCAGATCCGAGGGGTTCTGAATGATCACCTGGTACAGCAGGTAAACTAAGTATTGAACACGTCAGCATTTTTCTCAGTAAATATATTACTAGAGGTGCTAATG